GAAGGTGTATTTAGTGAATAACGACGGCTGAATAACATATTAGATGACAGAAAACCTGTTATAAATGCTTAACATAGTCGCCTTGCGACGAACACTTAAACCTCATGCCTGTTTCGTAGGAAGCTATAGGTCATTCTGCTGCTTTACATGTTTGATTTTCAGATTCATTTTCGAAAATTATGGGCCGATGCAAACTAAAATTCGTTATTGTATCCTACCACGAATATTATACTGTATGTTGGTTTTACATGGAGTCACCCATACATGAAACTAAGTGTATAATTTTTTGACAATCTCTGATGAGGATCCCCAAATGTTTCAATTCACAATCATTTTGGACATCGAACTTCAATGTGAAATACAGTGATGACTCTTTCAAGTGAACATGAAACTGACCTTGTTCAAAAGACTACATTATTTTGGGCTCATTCCATGGATAAAGAAAAACGAGATGTCCTTAGTGTTAAGCCACAGCACTTTCATAAAATTTTTAGTAGTGGCTTCTTTTCTTCAATTCTCTTCTCACATTAAAAATTATCATCATGTTAGATTTCATTCAGAAAACAACACCCATATGAAATTTTCAATTCCAAAATATTTCTGCACTCCTGCCCAGTTTCACTGTTTTCAACTAAAAATAACACAGCGATTTTCTTTAATCCGCAACATTCATTACAAATCATCGGCTATTAACAGCTAATGATGGGGATCACCTGTTTCCGACTGACCTGGAGACACCACTTTTCCAGTGTTGGTGTTTTGTCTGCACCGCGTATTTATTTTATAAGAGTCCATTTAAGACGAGTATGTAAATGATTCCTAAAGACCTGTAATTAAGCCGAAACGATGACATCGCTCACAAACCAAGTCTTATCAATAACAAAATTGTTACAGCAGCTAAAACAAGCTCGAAACAACGGCAATTGTTGATAAAATGAGAAATTAAATTAATGATCATCGCCATAATTATTTGCTGGAACATCATCGACATCGGAGATGATTAAATCGCACTCACAACGTGTCAGAGGCACGTTGCAAAGAGGAGGCATTCCCCATACCTCGACGTAATTCGTCCGAAACAAACAAAAACACAATTCACAAAATGTGTCAAGAATTCAAACAAAATGCAAAGACGTTAATGAAATGGAATCACTGGCATCATTTGTCATTAACTTTCATCTGCCAGGGGATTAACTTGTGATCCATTCGCAGCTGACGTCGTTTGCCATCTCCAGCCAGCCAGCCAGCCAGCCAAAGTGTTGAGCAAATGAATAACATCACAATTATCATCGATACATTTGTTGTGCGCACGATTGTTCAGCGCTCGTGGAGGGGGGAAGATCAGGATTGCGGCTTACATCTGCGATTACGATTTTAAATTAAAATCGAATACATTTTTAATCGTCATTCACATTCTTAATCAAATGCAATTTTGTAATTTAACTATTTTGCAATTATAAGTGAAAAACAGCAACGGCAACAACAGTACAGCGTCTAACTGAAAGTGTAACACTCTCTCTCGAACAACCACGAACGGGATCGATAATAATTTCTAAGTGCTTAGCCATCCAATACTGAATGGATGCTACAAACATTGGTTAAATAGAAAAATCCTCCATGAGCAATGATCATTCAATGGCAAATCTCTGGCTGACAATCGCCTAAGCTGAACCGACTGAGATGCCGCTGCGAACAACCACGTCAAGGCAGGAAAACGACAATTGCAGATTGCAAAAATTAAGAGTAAATTAATAACTTAATCGTTACATTTGGAGACAGACATGTTACGATCATCATCACCGTTGTCATTATCATCATCGTCATCATCATGCAATTAAATTTGATCTCTATAGAATGCACTGTGGATGAGTGAGAGTAAAATGTGGAAAAAGAGGATATTTTTTTTGGAAATTTTTTCAAGTTCAACATTAACTTATATTTATATATATTACAGGGTGAGATCAAAAAACTGCAGCCAACTTCAGAATGCTGTTATTTCTAAGCCACTCGTCCGACAGCTGTTAAAATTATTCCAGTGACAGCTCATTATATTGTTTACAATCGTACAAAAGCATTTTGGTGAGAATTTTCCAGAAAAAAAGTTATTTGTGATGGAATTCAAGCGTGATAGTGTGATTTCTTTATATTTGCCTGGAAAACCACAAGTGGCTATCGTTAGAGCACTCCAGCATTTAAATGTGAATAAATCTTTTGTGTCTCGCACCATCGCTCGTTACCGTGATACTGGTAGCGTAGCCCGACGTCAAGGAAGTGGACGGAAGAAAACAGCAACATCTGCAGAAATGGTTCGAACATTAAAGAAGCGACTTGATCGAAACCCGCGTCGCCGTGACTGAAAAATGGCTCATGAGCTGAAAATATCGCAATATTCCATTCGGCAATTATTGAAAAATCAGCTCGGGGTAAAGCCACTGAAATTCCAAAAAGTGCAAGAACTTACACCTCAACGGAAAGAAAACAGACTCAAAAGAGCTAAAGAGTTGCTTCGCTTGGCCAAAAGTGGTGAACTGCCGAATTTGGTTTTCTCCGATGAGAAAACATTCGTTGTCCAGCAGTTTGTAAACTTGCCAAAGAGGTCAGCTGAAAATGTGCACCTTCGGTCGGTCACCAGAACTCAAGCGCTGGCCATGGTGATGGTGTGGGCCGCTATAACAACCGATGGTCGCTCTCCGCTCGTATTTATCGACCTTGGCATCAGAATAAATGCCGAATATAATCGCGAAAATATTCTGGAAGGTGTATTAAAGCCTTGGGCATACAAATGTTTTTGCCGTAGACCTTGGACAACAGGACTCAGCACGCGGCACCCAAGAATGGTTACAAAATGAGGTTCCTCGCTTCATTTCCAGCGCACAATAGCCACCAAAATCTCCGGATATCAATCCGCTGGACTATTATGATACGGCCAAAACGTGCCTAGTCGAAATAACGGTTTTAGACCCTAGATCTCTTTGGACCAAATCCGTTTCAGAACATTTGGAGTCGATTCAGCGATGTCGTTCCGTCTGTCTGTCTGGCTGACTGGTGCACAATATATATCGAAGGGAGTATTCGATTTGGTCCAAACTTGGTACATCGAAATATTTTTGTCAAACTTAGATCGTGTTCGGAGATAGGCAATATCGGTCCACTCCTTCTGGTACCTCCCCCACAAAATGTTGAAATTTTCAAAGAAAAATATTTTATTGCACAGAAAGAGAAAGGATGATCCGATTTTTATCACACTTTGCAAATCCTAATATTTCCATCAGTGCTAGGTCAATTGCGAAAATGGACAATATCGGTCAACTCCATCAGATACCTCCCCCACAAAGGGCCAAAATTTTGAATAATTATAATTCTAATAAAATGTGATGTAAGAGTCTGATTGTCTTCAAATTTCACACATCCCAATATTTATATTAACCCAAGATCTGGCAGTAAGACGGAATATATCGGTCCACTCCTTCGGGTACCTCCCCCACAAACGCTCAAATTTTTGAATATCCATGAAGTTCATAAAAAGCGAAATCAAGATCCGATTCCATTCCAGACATGGTACATCTTAATATTTTCTTCAACAGTCTCCATAATTATTTAGTTCCGATACGAAATGGACAATATTGACCCATTCTTTCCAAACCCACTCCATAGAGGGTCAGGAGTTTGAAAATTCATAACAGAAGTCAACATTTTTTAAAACAATCGAACATTGGCTGAGGGTATACATCAGTAGGCCAAATCGACCGATACTTTTTTACTTGTTTGCTTTCATTAAATAAATTTAAAAATTACGGTGTTTGACTTTGTTGCGGTTTTTTTATCTCACCCTGTATATGTATGTACATGTACCATGAAAAAATATGACCAATTTATAAAAGAAAACATTTTTGCTATTCCAAAACGTTGGCCTAGAAACGTTGATAGAATTTGGATGCTAGTGTTTTTACGTAATGAGAACTTAAAATGCAATAATATGGCTAAATTAAATGGATATCGGATTTTACCCGTACCGCACGTCTCTCTAAATATTTGGATTACCTTGTATATGGCTAAGGCTATATAAATGCCTTAAATATGCAGATTTCAATATTTGGTCAACAAGAACTATCAACTACCAGTGAAATTAAGAAAATTTGGAGCAAATTTGGAAAAATGTGCTAAATTTGTTATTTTTAAATAACTCCTAAGGAGAATATCTCCAGACAAAAACCAAACGAACAAATAAGGGATGATGACTCTTTCCAAAACCATAGTTTTCCCGGATTAACTGTTATAGTATCAACTACTAATTCCCCTCAACGATAGTGTCTCCCGTTATTCCCTTAATGAGAATCGTTCCACATTTTATTATTCCAAAGAATTGTTTACCAAAATATTAATATGCAAATCCAGCATTTTTATAAAATAAATTTCCAAAGAATAAATATTCATTAATACTTTATTTGTAAGAATTGTTTATTAAAATATTGATATGCAATTCAACATTTTATTCCAGACAAATTTCCAAAGAATTGTTTACTTAAATATTAATATTAGCCTAAAACTGTATTTTCTTTTCTGCTGCATTTCCGACAACGAAAATGCAGCAATAAACAGAATTTTAGTATATAAGCCAGTGAAAAATAAAGAAAGTAAGTTATAATTTCAAACCACACCAAACGTCTTTTTTTTAGTCAAAGTTTTTTCCGCAAATAAAAGTGGCGCAGTCGGTAGGATACCGCAAAGTCCTATCCAACGTATAAAAATAATAAAACAGATTTTATTGTGCGCGATAGAACTAGGATTTTAATCCTTAGTGCGGTATTCGAAATATCCTTTATAAGATTAAAGGATACACAAATTTTATGAAGGAAAAAAAATAAAAAGGATATTAAGAAATATCCCTGTGACTAAAAAATATTAGTGGAACCAGAAAGGATATAAAGATCTATCCTTTTGGTGAACATCCTTGTGTCAGAAGGAAACCTAGTGAAAAAAAAAAAAAAAAAAAAAAAAAAAAAGGATATTAAGAAATATCCCTGTGACTAAAAAAATATTAGTGGAACCAGAAAGGATATAAAGATCTATCCTTTTGGTGAACATCCTGGTGTCAGAAGGAAACCTAGTGAAAAAAAAAAGGATATTCCTTCAGTGGATTATAAACTTCAAAAAAAACAACAACCATAATATAAAGACTGATTAAAACTATATTAAACAAAAAACAAGAAAAAATAACCAATACAACAACAAAACAAAATAAAATTTAAAATACGGGTCTAATACAAGCAAACAACAACAAGGAGAAGTAATAAAACAACAGCAACTATTGGAGCAATATTGTAAAGAAATAACATTACCAACAAACCAATAAGGAACAGTTCATGCCGAGAACTGCACCGTGGAAGACCCTACTACTAAGAAGAAAGTAAACCTGCAATCCTTAGCACCAACAACCAAATTACAAAGTAAGACTATCTCTAGAAATCTATAATTAAGAATAACTTGTATATTTTATAAGAAAATATTTAACATACCTTTGTGAAAAATCGTGTAGGAAAATAATTCCCTACAAGCAATTGTTGAAAATTTTTTTTTTCCTCTCCTCCCTCTTTCCCATTTCAATGAGCGATAGTGACTCATTATCAGAGTACCCATCAGACTTTGAATACATACCAAGAAACTCTAATAACGGGTCGACAGCATTAGAACTTGACTCAGGGATTGAATCGAATGATGGATACCTGACTGACGAAAGAACAGAACATTACATTCGTGACATAAGAAGTAGCAGAAACAGACGCATTTTTAGAAAGAAACTCAGACAATATTTTAGACGTAGATAAACAAAAAAAAAAAAAAGGAAAAAACTAAACAGGACTATAACCCAAAATATAAAGGAAAATAAATAACTAAAATGGCAGAACAGGCCGAAAATCAGATTAATAGACTAATCATAGACCCGCTAAAATACTTAAACAACTTACCGGAGTTCTATGGGGATTCAAAAAACTTACAGACTTTTACTACCCTCGTTGACCGAATTTACCCACACTTACGCACATACGACGAATTGTCCCAATTACTTTTCTCCGACATTATAAAGTCCAAACTCAAAGGAAAAGCTAGGCAGGCAATTGAGATAAACTGCCACGCGATTTCATGGACTGACATAAAAAACATGTTGCAAAACAATTTTGGGGACAGACGTTCTAGTGAAGAACTTTTCGACGAACTAAGGAGTGTGACTTTCAGGACGAACACACTAGACTTCTATAATGACGTAAAGGACAAATTGCACAGACTAAACAACAAACTGGTAGTTATACTAGGAGAAGGTGAAGCAACTAGGCAAAGTGCGATTAATAATAAACGCACCGCTTTAAACATTTTTAAAAGCAAAATTCCAGAGCCTATGAAATCCATCCTGCTCTGTAGGAACCCAGGAGACTTGGAACAGGCCATGGACATATTATTTCAAGCCGGCTACGCATACACCGGAAACAATGAAAATAGAGCACAGACCAATGCACAATCTAGTAAACGAAGAAATTACCAACAACCATTCGTAAACCAAGGAAGAAATTACCAACAACCATTCCCAAACCAAGGAAGAAATTACCAACAACCATTCCCAAACCAAGGAAGAAATTACCAACAACCATTCCCAAACCAAGGAAGAAATCACCAACCACCATTCGCAAATCAAGGAAGAAATCACCAACCACAATTCATAAACCAAGGAAGAAATTACCAACAACCATTCCCAAACCACGAAGGAAATTTCCAAAACCCTTTCCATGCAAACAGACAAAACACTAGAAATCAGCCTGAACCCATGGAAATAGGCACAGCCGAAAATTTTCGGGACAGAGCCTCGACAGGCAATTACCATATATAATGGTAAAAACCAAGTTAGGTCATTTGAGACTGATAGTGGATACTGGAGCCACTAATTCAATTATTAATCCAGGAATTTGTCATCCGAAATGGATACACCAAATAAAACCTCTTGTTATTAAAACTCTCCAACACCAAGTTACCATAACAGAAAAGGCAGTAATTCCAGCATTTCAAGAATTTAATATAACTAATAATGCGTTAGAGTTTTATGTTTTAAAATTTCACAATCACTATGATGGATTACTAGGCAACGATATACTTAAAACATACAATACTTGCATAAATTATAAAAACAATTCCATACAAATAAACGGACAGGACATGCCAATACTTTTTGACAATAAAAATAGCGAAAATAGAGAAGAAACAAATGACAAACCAATATTTTTTGAAGAACAATATAACAAAAATTTAAGTAAAATCATGCCCACGCAGAAGGTAGGCGATGATACCAAGGATATGAAGCAATATCATAGCTTGGAACAACAAATTAGGACACAACACCTTAATTCTGAAGAGAAAAGATGTCTCTTACAGCTAATAAAAAAATACTCTTCAATCTTCTTCCAAGAAAATACTCGATTGAGTTTTACCAACGTTATAAAGCATAAAATTCGGACAACAAACAATGTTCCAATAATTAGTAAATCCTATAGATATCCTTACATACATAAAAGAGAAGTCGAAGGACAGATACAAGAAATGTTGCAAAATAATATAATAAGGCATAGCAATTCGCCTTATTCTGCCCCTATTTGGATTGTGCCAAAAAAGCCGATGCAAGTGGGAAGAACAAATGGAGACTTGTCATTGATTACCGTAAATTAAATGAAGTTACAATCGATGATAAGTACCCCATACCTAACATTGACGAAATACTCGACAAACTGGGAAGATGCCAGTATTTTACAACACTTGACCTCGCAAAAGGATTTCATCAGATTGAAATCGAAGAGGAGGACATCCATAAAACTGCCTTCAGTGTAGAAGGAGGCCATTACGAGTTTTTACGAATGCCGTTTGGGCTAAAGACAGCCCCAGCGACATTCCAAAGGTTGATGAACTACGTCCTTAGAGACTATATCAACAAAATCTGTTTGGTTTATCTAGACGATGTGATAATATTTTCCACCTCACTGCAGGAACACATAAATTCATTAAAACTTGTTTTTAACCGTTTGCAAGAAGCCAACCTCAAGGTCCAATTGGACAAATCGGAATTTTTAAAAAAGGAAACTGAATTCCTTGGCCATGTCGTGACATTAGAAGGTATAAAACCTAACCCAAAAAAAATCGAGTGCATAGTTAACTTCCCCATCCCCAAATCACCCAAACAAATTAAACAGTTCCTAGGGTTAACTGGTTATTATCGAAAATTTATAAAAGATTATTCGCTAATAGCTAAACCCATGACAAAGTGTCTTAAAAAGGATGCCAAAATAAACATATCCAATCCAGAATATCAGGAAAGCTTTAATACGCTAAGAAACTTACTAATACACGACCCAATCCTCGCTTACCCCGACTTTACTAAGAAATTCACCCTAACAACAGACGCTAGTAATTTTGCCCTTGGAGCGATACTATCTCAAGATAACCACCCGATTTGCTATGCTAGTCGTACCCTAAATGATCACGAGATCAATTACAGTACGATAGAAAAAGAACTTCTAGCAATTATTTGGGCCACAAAATACTTTCGCCCATACCTTTTCGGACGCAAGTTCATAATCGAGACAGATCACAAACCGCTAACATGGCTCTTTTCGATTAAAGAACCCAACTCAAACTAGTCAGATGGAGGCTCAAGTTGTCAGAATTCGATTATGAGATTAAATACAAAAAGGGAACAAAAAACAGTAATGCAGATGCATTATCAAGGATCGAAAATAAAATTGTTGAGATCAATTCATTAGAAAACATCCAACCCATTCTTAAAGAAAGCGATTCACCTATAAATTTATTTAAAAACCAACTCATCGTAAAAAAAATTCATTCCGGATCAGCAAGGATAAAAACCGAAAACATCTTTCAGAATATTAGAAAAACTGTAACAATAAAAGAACTAGATAAAGAGTATGCAATTATGATTTTAAAAACCCACTGTCACCCAACACAAATAAATGCAGTTCTGATAGACAATGAATTTTACGACACTTTCAGAGACACTTGTAGGGAATTCTTTTCAAATAATAACGGATTCAAATTAATCAGGACTTTTAAGAAACTAGACGATATAGAAGACGAACTCCAACTAACAAACATAATTGAGGAAGAACATCTAAGCAAAAATCACAGAGGAATTCAGGTAGTGTTCGAGGAACTAAAAACAAAAATTTATAACCCCAAACTTAAATTAAGGATAACCCAGTTCATTAACAATTGCGAAATATGCACATTGGAAAAGTATGACAGAAGACCACCTAGACTACCTTACAAACTAACGGAAACACCCACAAAACCCAGAGAAATATTACACTTAGACGTTTTCTATACACCAGAGAAACAACTTTACTTAACTATAATTGACAAATTTTCAAAACACGCCACAGCATACAAAATTAATGGAAGATCATGGATAGAGTTTAAATCAAAATTAATGCAATATACCAGCACATTTGGAAGAATAGAAAAAATTGTTGTCGACAATGAGTTAGGATTTAAAGCCATTCCGATTCAAGAATATTTAAGGAAAGAGAACATTAATATACACTACACATCAAACAGTAACCATACATCCAACGCAGATATCGAACGACTTCACAATCCAAAGACGAAACGACAGAGGAAAAAATATCACGTATCATTGGATTTTATAATAATACTATTCATAGCACCACACAAATCAAACCTATAGACTTTATAAATGGCAAAGTACATGAGGATAAATATCCCGAAATACATGATCTAATATTAAAGAAGAAAAATAACTATATTAATAAACTTAACAAAAATAGAACCGATATAGTGATAGAGGAAGGTACAAACTATATAAGAGAAATTCGAGGGGGTAAAAATCATAGGAGGTACAGAAAGATAGAATCTAAGAAAGTCGATGAAGATCATATTGAAAACACAAAAACAGGGCATAAATATTACAAAGCACATATAAGACCTCAAAAGAAATATCAAGACAAGAATAACCCAAAAATTAAAGCAAAATCTAGATAATTACCATCCCCTTTCAGATGATTAACTGGATCATAATAATGGTTGCATTTACTACAGCAACCAAGGCCCAAACCCTTGACATACAAGACTTATCGAACAATAATGGTTACATACCGATAAAAACAGGAGAGACCAATACCGTAGAACACTACATAAAAGTACTGCACATAATAAACACTACAGAATTCGAACGAACTATGGAGATAATTAAAACCAACATTGACACCCTAAAGACATCCAGTAGCGAATCAAAAACATTAATCAGTACAATAAACAAGAACTTTATGCTACTAAAAGCGAAAATAGAAAATCTTAACCCACATTTTAGAAAGAAACGGGCACTCTTAAACATTATAGGAAAAGGCTTAAAAATGATTGCAGGTACAATGGACAGCGATGATGAAGAACAAATAACTGAAGCTCTCAAATCTCTACATTCGAACGAAGAAAACTTAACTAACAAAATGAACAAACTAACTTATATAAACAATGTCATGAACTCCCAAATCCAGAACATAACTAACCATATAAACTATCAGCAAAACATTATCGGGGACTACTTAGTCAAATTCAAGAATATTATAGGGAATAAAATTTCAACCATAGAGGACGAGATAACATTTATAGAACACATATACCAGATTAACAACGACATCTCACTCCTACGGCATCACGTAGACGACATAGGACAGATTATTTTCTCCGGGAAACTGGGAATAATTCCCACAGATATTCTCACCCAAACAGAACTCGATTTAATCACAAGCTTTGACAGCTATACCAATATAAAAGTAGCCATAGCACGTAATGAAGGGAACGTTATAATAATTCTCTCTATACCACAATATTCCCAAGATTCACTATCCAAGGTAACATTCGTACCCATTCCTGACAAAAATAATAAATCCATAATGGTTAATCATTCTGATGTTCTTATAGATTTAGAAAGAAATATTTATAGCACGTATATTAAAGATAACCTAAAAAGAAATCTTATAAAAATTAATGATAATTGTTTGAACAATATACTAAACTTTGAAGAAGCTAATTGCAAAACGCAAACATTAAATACACAAGAAATTAGCGAAATAATTCCAGGAGTATTAATCCTTAAACACTTTAACAGTACGATATCACATAATTGTAACAAAGATAAATTAAAAATTTCAGGAAACTACTTAATCAAATTCGAAAATTGTGAAGTAAACACGTTAAACAAAACCTTTACGAATTTTAAAATAAAAATACAAGACAAGTTTATCCTACCTAACCTTATAACAAAAATTAAAGATACCAGTAACACAACACTTGCAGACATAAAACTTGAAAATTTATATCTAAAACAAATAGAATACGAGGAAACACTGAAACAAGTACTATATACAGATAAAAACTCAAAAATAATTGGCTATAGTATAGATATTTTAATCGGTACATCAATATGTATCTTAATTATATTTATATATCTCTTTAAGAATAAACAAACCTATGTTCCAAATGTACAATTAAAAAACCAAACTATTATAAACAATCCGGCAAAGATAATATAATTTCGTCGGAGCCTCAAACTAAGGGTGGGGGTGTTATAGTATCAACTACTAATTCCCCTCAACGATAGTGTCTCCCGTTATTCCCTTAATGAGAATCGTTCCACATTTTATTATTCCAAAGAATTGTTTACCAAATATTAATATGCAAATCCAGCATTTTTATAAAATAAATTTCCAAAGAATAAATATTCATTAATACTTTATTTGTAAGAATTGTTTATTAAAATATTGATATGCAATTCAACATTTTATTCCAGACAAATTTCCAAAGAATTGTTTACTTAAATATTAATATTAGCCTAAAACTGTATTTTCTTTTCTGCTGCATTTCCGACAACGAAAATGCAGCAATAAACAGAATTTTAGTATATAAGCCAGTGAAAAATAAAGAAAGTAAGTTATAATTTCAAACCACACCAAACGTCTTTTTTTTAGTCAAAGTTTTTTCCGCAAATAAAAGTATTAACCCCGTGGAAAATATTACCTTATTTATCCGCTAATAAATAAAGTCTGTTTTTCAAACAGTAAAATTCTCAAGTAGTATTTGTCCCAATTGACTCAAAATTTCCACAAGCTACCCTCCGTTTAACAAAGAAGAATAAATCTAATAATCTATTTTACTCAATGCTTTTTTTCTCTTCAGATTACATTACTAAATAATTTCCCCACGAAGTTGATTTCAGATACAAAACCACAGTCCTGCTAAATACATCACAACCCATTAACTCAGATCACAAACTAATCAAAGAACTTTCATTTAAAAAAATCGATTTTCAAATTCCAGCAATGCTATTTCGCTCGAAATGAAATCTCATTTAACATTTAGAAACGTTTTGATTTAACACCCATTCGCCAGCCATGTACCTGTAATCGTAACTTTTGATTTCTTTTTGTTTTAAATGGCAGCAGACAAACGAAGAATCGAAACAGAAACAGTGGCTAAATTAGGTTGAGATACAAATCATCGATAAATGCCCGCCAATGCGTCCGCCTGTGGTACCACCTCTGTTTGCTGAATTAAATGGATTTCGCATTTCATATTTTTCGTTATTTATGAGTATTGGATAAACGTGTCATAATCCGAAAAAAAAACTGGTGTAATGAATGGGTACCCTACAGTTGGGGGTTTCAATGCATGGAGTTTTTAGAAAAAAAAATCAAATGCATCGTGACGATTGTGTCGATTCAAATGTAGTTTGCAACCATGTATATGTAACACAAACACCTGTTCCATAGCTCCCATTGACAGTCGATGTTGCATTCATTTGCTTGCATTTATTTTTGGCAGACATGCATTGCCTGAATTTTCTAAAAAAATAAAGACTCAAACATTTTTATGAATTACCGCGACGCGTGAGTCTGTGATTGTTGAATGTCGAGTGCGCGTTGGATTGTGCGTTATAAGACGTCATAATTGTCCAGACATTATGACTTCTTACGTTTGTGAACAGTAACTCTCGCATTTAAATACAATTTACGGCATTAGCTTCAATCAGACGCTGGCTGGGTGACAGGCCATGGCTGTTGTATTACCAGCGGCAGCAACAACTACGACAGTCTCGGCTGATTGTTTGAGTTGTAAATTAAAATATTAGATGCCAAAATAAGAGATAATATGCACTTAATTCGCGTATAATTAAAGGGATCATGAATGTTTGTACAGCGAAGTAGATAATTTACTAGTTTGGGGTATAAAGCTACGTGAGATTTGTTAAAGAAAAAATATATGAATGTTTTTAAAAATTTTTTAAAATTTTGAATTTTAAATAAATGCTTAATATCTTAAAGCAATGTTTAATGTTATCCTTATGAGCCCTGTAATGCCTTTGTAGTCATAGCATATTTCGTAAGACACTGACTGAGTACTTACAAAGATATTCTGCGGTAAAATCCGATCGTGTCCCAGAGTTTATTTTATTTGCTACCATTTATCGTAGAGCGGTATTCATAATGAAGTATAATATATAAGCCTATCCAATAAGCTTACCCACCCGTCTTCCTCTGTCGGCAATAGTAAAACATGTTTGTAACCATTAGACCCCGGCCATTTTAACCAACAGCCAATACAGCAACGGATTGTAAAAAAAATAAATTATTCTCAAAAATCCAATGATATTGGATTAGGAGGTTGTTTATATTTCTGTTTTCGCCAAGAAACCCTTCATAACAAGGAAAATGTAACAAATTGAAATGTATTTTTAAAAAGCGACGATTATTTGTAAATAATTTACCGTTTTGTAAATATATTCTTAAAAAACCAACGATTTTACAAAATATTATTAAAAGTTAAAAAAATTTGATAACTATGTTTAAAAGTAAACTATTTTGAAAAAAAGGAAAAAATTACGATTTTCAAAATTTTTTGTATAAAAAGTATCGGCTGGTTTTGCCGACCGATGCATGCCCTCAGTAAATGTTTGTTTATTTAAATAATAGCTAAAAACGCCGGAAACTCAATATTTAAGGAGTTATGGCCATTTTAAAATATGCAATAATTCACACTTAATAATAGCTTAAACGCCGAAAACTCGATATTTAAGGAGTTATGATCATTGCAAAATTTACAATAATTCACACTAAAAAAGTGATCACAAATAATAGCTAAAAACGCCGAAAACTCAATATTTTAGGAGTTGTGGCCATTTTAAATTATTGATTAATTCACACTTATGGCTATTATCACGTTATTCTAAATCTTGAACCTTTTTGGGAGGGGTTATGAAGAAGTGGACTAGTATTGTCCATTTCGTATTTGACCTAAGTCGGATATAAATATTGCAACTTGTCAGATATGGACTATATCCACTACTTTCTTCACTTTATATGAGTTATGTGATATTCTTTGAAAAATGTGTAAATGTGCGAGAGGTACCAGATATAGGGGTCTGAAGTACTCCAATTCGTCTAATACTTATAAAAAACATCGGGATGTTCAAACTTTAAAGAAGATCGAACATTTATTTTCAATTTCACGCCACAATTGCAAATCAGAAATTTAACCGGGAGTGGGCCGATTTATTCCATACTCACATCAGAACTCTGTCTGAGAGAAATATTTTGATACACAAAGTTTGAAAGGAAAAGGACTTTTTCGCAAAATTGTGACCTTTTGTAGGAGAGGTAGAAGAAGGGGTGAGCCGATATATATTCACTTTCATATCAGATTTTGGGTTAGTCAAAATTTAGGAAAGTTTGAAATTTGAAGGGAATCAGATGTTTATTTCGCATTTTACGAGCCGTTAGTTATACAAACTTTTAACACTTTGCTGGGGGAGGTACCGGAAAGAGTGGACCGATAAATGTTTTTTATGATATATTTTATGTTGATAGAAATTTGAGTTTGAAAGGAACCGGATTCTCGCATCTTATGACCATCATAGTTAGTCAAAAATTTAACCCATTGTGGTGGAGATTCAGGAAGGTGTGGTTCGATCTATGCCATGCTACAATGTGAGATAAAAAAAACTGCAACAAAGTAAAACGCCATAATTTTTACTTTTTTTAATTTAATTGAATGAAAGCAAAAAATGTCGGAAATAGCATCAAATTTTAGAATAATTATAGATTTGTTCGAATTGGTCACCTTTGGCACGAATAATGGCCTTCAAACGCTGCCCGAATTTTGATCTGCGGTATTTTGGCCCATTGCCAGCGAAGCGCTTGCTTGAGGTGATCGACATTTTGGTATTTTTTAGTACCAACCTTGCTTTCCAAAATACCACAGACACAATTGTCCGACGAATTGGTATCTGGAGATTTTGGTGACCATTGTGCGCTGGAAATTGAGCAAGGAATCTCATTTTGTAACCATTCTTGGTTGGCGTGTGCTGAGTCCTCTTGGAATGTCCAAGGTCTGCGGCCAAAAAGTTTTCGTGCCCAAAGCTTTAATACACCCTCCGGAATATTTTCGCGATAATATTCGGCATTTATTCTGATGCCGCGGTCGAGTTTTGTTTCCAATTTCAAATGGAATTATTTGAATTCCAAATAAAATAACTCGAATTAGAAATGAAAATATTCGGAATTAAAGTGGAATGTTCGGAATAACAAACTAGTTTCTCGAATTACAACTACAACGTTACGAATTGCGAATGGAAATCCCGAATAACAATTGAATGGGTTTGAATTACAAATGGAATTCTCAAATTTTAAATAAAATGTTTCGAATTACATCTGAAAAAGTGTAGTTTTGCGTTAACGACTGAATTAAGAAACCGAAATTCCAAAACTAGGTGATTGACTCACAGGCCTATCAGCACCAAGGTGAAAGGACTAAAGCTAGAAATTTCAAATGTTGGTCGCTCTTGGTCGCTAATGGCTTAACTTGATTTTTTTGTGGGGGCGGTTGTAAAAATATTGGGTCTAAATTGCCAATATCCGAACTCGATACTTTTTGTAAAAAATATTACGATATGGGAAGTTTAACCAAATCGAATACTTTCGTTGAGACTTGTCGTTCGCTCCAGCCAAGAGGAATATAAGTTGACAGACGGAAAGACATTTCATCGAAGATACAGGCCTTCCTTGGGTAAAAAAATCAAAAGTCCTTCAATAGCCAGAAAACTTTCAACACGGTCTTTTATAGTCAGAATAACTATAACAATTGGTTGGAAGGCAGTCTTCAGTCAACTTCAGTCAAATCAGCCCTCATTAAGACTCCTAAGGAAAAGGAAAGCCTTTTTCTAGACAACAACCCTTCAAAATTAATTCAACTGGCACAGATCCATCATAAAAGATTCTGCAAACAGAAGTCCTTTAGATGAAAGGTTAACAAAACACAAAAGACCTAAGAAAAGACTTCAATAGATAGAAAACCGTTCAATGTCAAAAAAATTGAAAAAAATATTTTTAGAAAATAAAAACTGTAGGAAATTTTATAACTTCTTTTCTTATAAGTTGCCGAACGATGTCCTTTTTAAACGGATCATTTATACAGATCTTTTAGAAAGTTTTTTTTTTTTATAGACTGAAGGGCTTTTAAAACATTTTCAATGAAATGAGATCGAATAGGCCTTTATAAAATGTCATCTATGAACCAAATAATCTAAAATTTTTATAGCAACCCTCGTATCTCTAACCTTATCTAATCATAGCACTGTAACATCCTGAAAGCGTTTGCAATGGTCATT